GATTTCAATTAGAACCTGACATCAGAAGAGAAAAACAATTATTAATGTTATTAATTAACTAGCTGTTCCCCGAGACTTCGCCCGCGTTACTATTGGATTTCATGGGTTTTAATTTTTTGCGCGGAACCCCAATTCTTTTACTTAAATAAAAGTAGCCTAAGTTACTATACTAAGTTACTAATCGGTCCAGCCGTTTCGAAGATTAGTCGGAACAAACAGACAGACAGACAGACAAACATTTTAAAAATTGTTTTTATGTTACAAGTACCGTAAATACTTTCATATGCATTTAGTAAAAAGCTGTTATTTTGACATTACAAACAGACACTTCAATTTTATTTATTTGTACTTATAGATGATACACTTATTAATTCTATATTTTGTATGCCTACTGGCGGGACATAGAGAACATACCTTATATTTTATTATGTACATATCGAGATCTGTAAATTAACCTATATTCACAAAATAAACAGAATTGAAAAAAAAATATCCACAATACAATATCAAATATCAAAGAATATTATATTATTCGAAGGCAAGGGTAAAATTTTGATTAAAAATTTTAGTGGTGCCGGCGCTTATTCTGTGGCGCGGCGGGGAGTTTTGAGTCGTACCTACGCGTACTCAGGTTTTTTTAGACTCTCAAACCAAACCGATTTCAAAGTGCTAAAAAAGAAGTTATTTATTTGCTACCCTTAGGGGTTGATTTCTTTTCCAAATTTATATGGGACCCTTGAAGTATAACACATTTAATAAAAAAAGAATCATCAAAATTGGTTCACAATCTGCGAAGATATGGCGTAACATACATACAAAAAAAAACATACACTCGTTCGTAGTTAAGAATCTAGGAATACTGTTTGATGGAAAGCTTACGTTCCGCAATCATTACGACCATGTGGTATCTAAAAGTACAAAACTTCTTGGTTTTATATTCAGAGCTGCCAAGACTTTTAAAAATCCGCGAATCTTTCTCATTTTGTACTATTCTCTGGTACGCAGTATTTTATAGTACAACATAATTATTTGGTTTCCATACTACGCTGTCCACATAGATCGTATCGAACGTGTTCAAAAGAAATTTCTATCAATCTTGTTTGTTGTTTAAATAGAAGTCTGCCCTCGTATGAAGACAAACTTAAAAAGTTTTTTTTTTATAGGATAGGGTGACAAACGAGCACACAGTCGACCTGATGGTAAGTGGTTGCTGTAGCCCATAGACATCTACATCTATCCTCAATAAAGACTCAAGATGCAGATGCGTTGTCAACCAATGAGGACTAAGATGGAATGCCTCTTTGCCAGTAAAAAGGGTCTCCGGTCCTCTACACTCACCATACGAAACAACAGCAGCGTTAAGCTGCTATTTTACGCGTGGTCCTTCCCCGGAAGAGCCGACCCATTCATACTACAACTATACTACTAAAATAGTTGCAGCATGGCTCTACCACGTAAAAAAGTTTAACATATGTCACTACAAACCCGATGTAAATATCAGGATATTACTTACCTTTTCAAAATTATTCATTCCCTTATTGATTCACAGCTGGACGTGTTTTCGTTATGCACATAAAACCATGTTGTTGGGTGCAAATATGACTAGATGCTTAGTATGTATACGTAAGTGTATATTTTTACAATACGTTCAGCATATTGTTGGCTTAGTTTTTGCGTCACTTGAAATGTACGCAGTACTCCGTCTTTTTTGAAATAAAACCTTTTTTTAGAAGCGTTGTGATTTGAAATTCGATTAAACGAAAAAGCGACACTAAAAAGAAACAGACAAACAAATCCCTTCTATACGATTTAGTCTGCGATAGAATGAGTGTGTGAATAGAATGAGATAGTATAGTCGTGTTTAGGCTAAAAATTTAGAACAAAAAAAATGACTTTACTACTACGACTTAATGACTATAGAATGAAGTAGATGGCACCATTACAAAACACAGTCATGTTATTTTTGTTGTTCTAAATTTGTACTACAATCTTTAAAGCGAATGAAATGCTACCACCTCAATTATTGTAACATTGTGAGAATTTTGGTTTTATGCTACAGAATTTATAATAATACGGTAACATAGCTTACTGCAATATAATAATAATAACATGCAGTCTCAATAAGCGACACTATTATGTTGTACTAATACGTACGTATACCTACTAGATGGTACGATGAAATACCACAGAAGTGCTTTGCAAGCATAAACGTTAGGCACTTGAATTCGATTCTCGCTAAAGCGCGATAAGAATTTGAAGGGACCTTATTGAGCATAAACAAGCTTAGACGTTTGCTACAGGGACACATTTGGATAAATATCTTCATTCTTTAAAAATATTTATTTGAGTAACCTATTTAAAAAGAATGATTCTTTACTTACTTCCACTTTAGGTATATTTTTCTGTTTTATCTTTTATCTCATCTTTAGATTGCTATTCTGAGCACTTATAAATAAAATTTCTTCCTGTTACTATTATGAAAATGCTAGGTAATCTTACTGAACGTGTGAAAAAGTTTTTCTTTATTAAGGACAAATTTAAATGCTTTAAGGGCTTTTTTAAGTTTAATTCGTCTTTATTAATTACAACGCCATAAATAAATCTACACTTGTCTTTTAATGTATTTTAATCATACTGAATTTTTCGGAAGATTTCGTTATATCCGATAGATATCGTTTTATAAAATACCGAGACCGGCGACGGCAAGCAACGTCAAAGTGACGAAACGTCTTGTACTGTGAAGTGCGAATGTCATTCCGCCTACCAAGCGTGAAAATTAAGACAAATCCCACCTATGACGATAGCAGTGGACATTAGGAGCTAATAATGATGAAAAAGAAATAAAATATATCAACACCCACTTGTGTAGCGCATCACAGTCAGCTAACTGTTCCATAATTATCTCGGAAATGAAGGCTTGTGCCCAGCAGTAGCGTAGTAAATCTAAATTTAAATACAATAAAAACCTTCATTTTGTTTTGTAGGATAAGGGCGACAAACAAGTGCACAGTTTACCGGTTAATGCTATGGCTCATAGACTAAGATTAAGAATTAAAACGCAGTCGAGGACTAAAACGGAATTCCTCGTTTCCAGTAAAAAGAGTCCCCAATTCTTTACATTCATCATACGGATAAGAGCAGAATTAAACTGCTATTTGACGCTGGTATTCTATGAGAACGTGGTTCACTCCTGTCAGGATGACCCATTCATGCTACAATCATAATATGGCTACAGTGTGGTTCTACTACATATTATATATTTATAGTTGTGACGGTTCTATGAGATTACAACGAAGATAAATTAATGGATGTGTATGATTGTAACAACAGTAGAACAAAAATTTAAACTTTGATACGTAGTAGGTCATTATTTTATTGCGCTGATTTACATAATTTATAATTTCTTAATTTTAATGGCAATAAACCGTAGCCTAAATACGGCCATTTTAAAGTACCGCGCGACATAAAGCGATTGTTTATGGTCCGCTGTGCGCTCAAGTCAATTCTCAAATCTCAAATGTGAGCGTGAGCGACAAGTGAAGAACAAAAAATATGCAATTCTAAATTGTACAGTCTTGATGATTATCATTTTATTTTAGTGCTGTAGTGCCATAGAAGTGTTTGTTCGTTTTTATATTTTAATAATGTGAAAAGTGTAGATATGAAATAAAAATATAATATAAATTGTACGTTGAAAACTAAAGTGACAAAATATAAAACGGCCATTTTTTAAATTCGTTGTTGTCTTAGCGCCATAGACTATTTAGTTTAGCAACATTGAGTTATATGTACTACGTACTAGAGAAGCCATTCCGAACATTGACTATGTTCAACTGAACTGTAGTGCAATCCATACAAACTAAATATTGCGTAAATTGAAGATTTGTGAATTCCATAAAATAATGATTATTACATTTTATTTAGAAATATGTTTGTTTAGATTAAACTAAGATATTTTATATTAAACTCTTATATTTATTTTATATTAATATCTTATTTTATATCAAATTAAAGTCTTCGCTCATGCGCGACTACTACTCCCGCGCATGCGCGAAGACATAGAGTAGGACACAATTTTTGTTTGGAATGGCTTCTCTAGTACGTAGTACATATAACTCAATGTTTAGCAAAGAGATTTAAAGGTTTACTTATAAATTTGCATGTATTTGCACGTATTAGGAGACTCCAATTACTTTATTATTTAGTATGCCTTGAGAAAGAAATAAATTTTAATTTAATTTAAAATTTAAATAAAATTGTCTTAAAGTGTACCAAATAAGGTACACATTATGTAAGACTTACGTCTTCGCGATGAATTATTAATAAGTCATCGCGAAGACGTATCAATAATCTAAGATGTAAGATAAAAAAAAATGTCTGAACATAATCATCACCATCATTACATCCCTTCACAATCACAAGCTTACTGCTGAACATGTCTCACTCATGTAATGCTGCAAAGCACGACCCTGAGCCACCTGCATTCATCGACTTCCTGCACCTTTTACCAGGTCGTCTGGTGGGTGTCGGGCAACAATTCGCGCGTGAACACGTAGTACATTATATCTCAATGCGTGAACATAATATAATTATTTTCATTATCTTATTTAAATAATGCGTCGTTAAAATACTATGATGTACCTAATTCTTATAATGTATAGACGCTTATTACTTTGTGCGTAATATAAAACTTATACTCTTGCTCTTTTAATATTTATATTAATAACATATAAAAATAATAATGGAAATGCGATGCAAAAACACTATTGTTAGCAAACACAAAACTAACATAATATAGCTAGTTGTATATTATACCTAAATAAGGCAAAGATTTTAATAATTCAGTATAATTTTTGTAGAGACCTATTTCTTCTTTGCTTCGAGAGCGAGTTTTTTGTGGTTTAATTTTAATGCACTTGATTACAGTGAAAATATATCGGTACACCTCATTTGCTGGCCAGTGTTTCATTACCTAGTTTAATTGTTTAAGTGAATGTAAAATGTGTTGGGCGGAGAAGTGCTGCTTCTGCGTGAAGATCAACATCGGTACCACCATCATCGGTATCGGAAGTTTTGTGAGTAAGCTTCCCTGCAATTTGAAATTATGCTGAAATAAGGAAAATAGTTTTTTTGCTAGAAAATCATACATAGGCCAACATTCCATCCATCTATCCATTACAGTCTCCCAAGGTCCACTGTTGGACAAAGCCTCCTAATAAAAATGACTTTATAATAATTTCCTCCACTCCAGATCGATTAATGTAGTGCTCGAATGTATGCTGTATGCGCAAGAACAGGTGCATTCTATTCCCTCGCTCTCATGTAGGGTTGCCAGGTCTTGAAACCGAAAAGCCGGACAGACCAGCCAGTTTAGCCGGATATTTGGGTTAAAAGGCCGGACCGTAATTTTTTTTTGTTTTGGTATAACACGACCATTTTTTTTTAAAGTAAAACAAGGCTTTTTTATCATTTAAATACCATAAAATTTTCTTAAATTCTAACGAAACAACAATAAAATTGAATGAATCAGTCTTCTTTACTATTAGTCATTCAATATCGATTACATTATTTACCAACACAATGACAATTGTAAAACAAAATGGTTAAATTTAAAAACCTAACAAAAGCTGGACACCGTCTAATTTGGCCGTACACGCAACCAAAAAGCCTGACTGTGTTTGACTTTATCCGGACGTCTGGCAACGCTACTCTCATGTCATGTCTCATAGTCCAATGTGAAAGGCAAGTCAACACGACCGGAGAGAAATCAGGCGCAGGACCAGCGGCTTTACGTTCTTTCCGAGGCACGGGAGCAAAACACCGCCAACCACCAACTTCCTGACTCCGGGCTGCTAGGCTGCTACTGTGGATTTCTTGACAGAAAAACTCAATACCTGATGTTTGTTGGCCGACCCGGGATTCTAATCCGGGACCTCAGCGTCAGCAGTCGCGTTTACGACCGCTACACCAACGAGGCAGTAATAAATTGCAAATATGGCAAATATTGCTTCATAAGGGGAATATTTGCCACAGTTGCCACGCTCGGCAAGCGAGCTGGCGACCTCAGTTTTTAGACGGTTTTAGGTTTATGCATGTATATTTGACCAAAAACAACCAGAGTAATTTTGTTTTAATAGTAGTGAAACGCCCTGGCTTTGCCTAGGTAGGATCCATTAAGGTGGCGTTATATTTTATAAATTTTTCAATTTTCAAAAAATTTCCCAAGTTTTTCGGATAAAATATACTCTAGATCACCCTAGGCATTCTCTCTATCTGTTCGTAAAGTTTTCATTACAATGGGTTCAGGTATTCCGAGGGTTAGCCCGAACAGACGGGCAGATAGATAGCCAGACAGATAAAATTTTCAACAAGTGATGAAATTAAAAATTTTGTACAACCGACTTCAGTATAAATTATTAAAGATAACTCAAAAACTACTGGTCAGACTTGAACCACATCAGAAGCACCAGCTTTCAAATAAAAAAAAGAATCATCAAAATCTGTTCACTTTAAAAAAGTTATGAGGTAACACATAAAAAAAATATAGTCGAATTGAGTACCTCCTCCTTTTTTAAGTCGGTAGAAAATAGTTATTCATGTTAAAATGCAGTTATTTCGATATTACAGACAGACACTTCAATTTTATTTAAATGTACCTACCTATACAAGCTGGCCAGGCTGACGTTCCGATGTTTCCGACGATCCTTCCTATACAAGTTTCAAATACGCAATAAAAAAAGGAGTCACTTATCGGGATAAAAACTTCCTATCTCCCAAATTGGACCAAACTGCACACAGTGTGCAAAATTTCATTGAAATCAGTTAAGTAGTTTTTAACTACAAAACTTAACGATTTACGAGGAACGATTAACGATATTATTAACGAGGAACTTTTAAATTGACACATAAATTGTATTTTTAATAAAATATGATTCGCGAGCGTAACGAGTATGTATTTACCGAATTATAATCATTATAATCATCAATACAACCCCCAAAGTTCGTATAATTCCTTTGAATGAGTTTTTCTGGAAATAGCCATACATTGGAATTATACGAACATAGACGGTTGTATTGATGATTATAATGATTAAACAACAAACAACCTGACACTGACCTCCAAATTGTAAAAAACGTAATAAAATTTGAATTTCGCGGGCCACCCTGGAGCTTCCACCTTAAAACTTTTGTGCGCGGCTCTTTTTTACCGACTTCAAAAAGGAGACGGTACTCAATTCGACTGTATGTTTATTTTCCTTTATGTGTGTTACCTCATAACTTTTTTCTGGGTAAACCGATTTCGTGGTCCTATATAAATTTCATAAAGGTCTGACAAATAGTTTTTAAGTAATTCTTAATAATTTATATTGAAGTCGTTTGTACAAAATTTATAATTTTAAAATATTAACCTGTTCCCCTAGTCACGTGCCTAGGATCATCCGCTACTGAGTAATATTGTTTTGCAGCAGAATAATTGTAATAATATGTACTCTTGTATTCCCGTCGGTTAAGCTTGTGGCTTGTGGTGTTGATGCATAAGGAATTAGTATGATGTAAAATACGTGGACGACGCATCCGCGCACTTTGACCTATTACAAAGCAAAGTATTTCGTCCCTTTGTTACATCGGTCTAGGCTTACTGTGAGAAAATTCTAAATGACCTTTCGAAGCAAAAGTGAACATGGAATTTTCTAGATAAATCTGATCACAATTATTTTCCTTTACCTAATTATCATCATCATCATTGCACACTGCACAAGTCCACTGCTGCTAAACATAGCTCTCCTCCCCCCCTCCCCCCAAGGAATGCAACAAAGCACGGTCCTGAGCGACCTGCATCCATTGACTTCGTGTCTTCATGTCCTCATTGGCATGCCTTACCAGCTCGTCACGTCACTCCATCTAGTGGCGGTACGTTGCTGCTACTCGCGAACCTCTCTTCCCCATCGGCTTATATATAATTATATATTTTCCCCCTTGTGTTAGATGCCATAAATATTTTGGCAACAAAAAAACTCTAAGTCAACTCTTAAGATTCCCGTCGTACAAAATGGAGTGATCGAAATTCTTGCACCACTCTAGAGATGCCGCGAATAGTTGTTATACCGAATAGGTAATCGAATACCGATTAATTAACATTCCCTATGGCGAATAACTCGGCGTTATTACCGTTATTACGACATAAAAAAGAAATATAAAAAATAATTTATTTGTGATCACATAATAATACACATGTATCACGCTTGTAGTAGAAGTCCCGTCTTGAACTTACCAATAATTTATTTGTTACTGTAATCTAAAAAAATTCTAAGGTTATGAGTAAAGAAAATAATTAAGCTAAATAATTCAGTCTCATATTATACTGATATTACATTTTTAAATTCTGACAACCCTTTTCTTGTACATATTTTACGGGGAATTCCTCGTTTTGTATCATAGATAATATACTGTATAACCCACCGTGGGAATTTTGTGTTTACATCCGGCGACACGCAATTTTTAAATATTAATTAAAAAGCCTTATTTACCTTCAACATGACATGATTTTCAGCTACTTTTTATATTAATAATGATAATAATTAGCTTGTTTTGTTTTTTAAGAAAAATTAAAGTTTGATAATTTGTATGTCTATAGTTTTTTATAGTTTATTTTAGGCAAGTATTCGCCGAATGTCGAATAATACTAGCTATTATTGGGTATTCCACGAATAACAAATGTCGAGCAATGCCGAATACCGAATAATAGCGAGTATTCGCGGCATCTTTACACCACTGCCACTCCCACACAGCTAGGTCTAAATTGTAACTATTCAAAATGACGATAATGATATTACAGATTATATTCTCAATCTTTGCGGTGACGTCGGCAGTTTTACTCGTGCTAGAAGATAAAGAGAAGAAGGTATTGAGGATGTCCACCAATTCCACCAATCCGGTGCAGCACATCTTCGGAACGGATCTAAAGATTATTTCTATAAATGTGATTCTGGTGACTGTTCTTATTCTTTCCGTGCTGGCGATCTTCTTTTCTGTCCTCCTTCTCATTGGAATTATAAAGGTAAATTGGAATTTTTAATTAAAGTTTTTTTTTATAGGATAGGGTAATAATCGAGCACACAGTCCACCCGATGGTAAGCGGTTGCTCTGGCCCATAGACATCTACATCTGTTCTCGTTTGTGAATCAAAATGCAGATGCGTTGTCACCCGTGAGGACTAAGATGGAATGCCTCTTTTCCAGTAAAAAGGGTCTCCAGTTCTCTACACTCACCATACGAAACACAGTAGTGTTAAGCTGCTATTTTACGCTGGTATTCTGTGAGAGCGTGGTCCTTCCCCGGTAGAGCCGACTCATTCGTGCTACAACCATAATATAGCTGCAGCGTGGCTTTTTGTGTTTATTGAGTAAGATGTTGCAGTGGCCTTGAAAAGGCTGATGATGATGATGAATCGAGCATTTGGTAAATCAACACTAAAATATACATACATACATACATATAATCACGCCTCTTTCCTATAGGGGTAGGCAGAGACCACTTCTTTCCACTTGCTACGATCCTTACATACTTGTTTTGCTTCGTCCACTTTCATTATTCCCTTCATACATGACTAAAATATAGCAATTTCCAATAACTGTGATTCTGTCAGGGATCGAATTGGAGTTGCTTGCATACTGTTGAATTTAAACGTCACGAATCTGTGGCTCGTATTCTTTTTAATAGTAAAAAAAAAATACAGTTTTTATTTATAGTATATTATAACCTATCTGAAGATATTCTTTAAATAGTGGTGAAAACCACATGAAGAACCATTAAGCAGTTTAAAATTTTAAGTGAACATACAGAGATCCACGGATAAGATACTTTTTTTATGCTTGTTATGTTTATTTAGTAATTATCTTATATTACATATTATTATATTACTTTCAGAATAGGCCTGGACTTGTATTGTCTTACTTCAGCTTTGGTATAATGACCACGATACTGATGCAGCTTGGATGTTTGCTGCTGTTGATAAGTAATTACTGGTACATTTCCTTGATATGGTTCATCGTCTCCTGTAAGTATAGTTGTGATTTATTTAATGACAACATTTTTTTTCCTTCTTCTCTGGTTTATGGTTACATTATTTTGCTGTACAATACGGACTTTTCTATTTATTTATTTATTTATCTTTTTTTATAGGATAGGGTGATAAACTAGCACACAATCCACCTGATGCTAAGTTGTTGCTGTGACCTATAGACATCTAAATCTTTCCTCGTTTACGAATCAAAATGCAGATGCGTGGTCACCCGTGAGGTGAGGTTCTCTACACTAACCATACGAAACTGTGTTAAGCTGCTATTTTACGCTGGTATTCTGTGAGCGCGTGGTCCTTCCCCGGTCGAGCCGACCCATTCCTGCTACAACTATACTACTAATATAGCCGCACCATGTCTCTACCACGTATATAAATCCGCGTAAAGACCGCGAACTCGAAAAGATTTGGGTTCGAATCGGCCATTCGAGTACTGTCGTGAACCTCTCCTAACACAAGCATTTAAGCTTACCAGGAGCGATTTAAGGGAATATTAGTAATGTTAAAAGCATTGATAGTATTTAAAAAAGTGGCACATGAGCTAACAGTGCCATTGATGGTTAATGGGTTAATGATTAAACTACGGCGAACATTGATTTCGTAATCCATTTTAAAAGTGTTATAATAATCACTAAATATTTTTTTAATCCTAATAATTGCCGTATAACGGCGGCGTAGGAGATACCATCACGCTGTTTCTTTCAATGTTTGTCGTTAGCGGCGACATTTGGAAATGCCAGAAAAATCTTTGATCTTTCAATTGATGGCAGTGTACTATATCGCACAACGAACGTACAACATTTAGATCGGCGACGGGTAGCAGCGACAAAGGTTTGAGGTCGAGACATCTGGTTCTGCGATCGTCATCCATCTTGGATAGTCTTTTTTATAAGGGTGACAAAAATGTGAATAAGGGTGACAAACGAGCACACAGTGCACGTGATAGTAGTTAGATACTGTGCCCCGTAGACATATCTACATTTATCCTCGATTAAGAATCAAAATACAGATGCGTTGTCACCCCTGTGGACTAAGATGGTATGCCTCGTTTCCAGTAAAAAGGGTCTCCGGTTCTCTACACTCACCATACGAAACACAGCAGCATTGAGCTGCTCTTTTACGCCGGCATATTGCGGATCTACCCGACAACGGGAGGCCCATGTCCTGCTGTGACCCTTTTTCAGGTTGATAAAGAAGAAGATCATCACAAGTTCCGTAAACAAGTGATAAAATTGCCCATGTTATCCTTTTAAATCTAGATTTAATTAACTAACCCGATTTTGATTTAGTTGTTTATGGTTGATGGATGATAATGACCCCTGGGAATGAGGTAATCGCTACCACGTTATTTCTAATTTGTTTTGTGTTGTTAATTGTGTGTTATTTAAAAAAGGCTCCCCCTGTATTTCTTGCTGGTTATTCCCAGGACTGAGGTATATAAATGTGCCTAAAAATATTACATACATGTTACATGGGTTGACAAAAGGTATGCATAATATAAGAAATTTTACCTTCTGGCGACATTAAATGCACTGCGTGGCTCTACCACGTAAAAATGATCTGTTCTATAATGTATATTTGTTTTTAAAAGTCTCTGTTATTTCAGTATTCTACATCCATTACCTCGTAGTTGTGCACACCGTTTACGAGCTGATGCAAAGGGGTAAACTGTTTGGTGTTACTGCGACCGAGGGACTGGAAGAGGAACTTTTAAATTGACACATTTTGTATTATTTGCATACTCCATTAAAAAGTATTATATTAATATATAATATATTGTGTTTGCAGTATCGATGTGGACTTAATAACACAAAATACTGTAGTTATCTATAGAATTTTAGTAGTGGAACAATTTAAGTTACGATATTATGTTGCTCTAAATAAATTTATATTGCTGAATTAGGCTAAGTTTCGGAGCGTGCGGCGTAAATAAAAAAACAATCATGTGTGCAGTTCACACGCTGTAGAAGTGAAACCTTCGGAAAAGGGACCGAGATAATAACACTGTATACTGTTTCTATCTCATTCACTCGGGAGTCTAAAGCATGTAGATGTATATTTATGTCTTTTTTTAGTGTCGCTTTTTCTTTTCGAGTTTAAAATCACAATGATTCTAAAAAAAAGTTATCATTTCAAAAAAAATACTAGTAATGCTATTAACACTATTGGTGAGCTGTTAGGAGCGGTTCACGACATTAGTCGAATCGTGCGTTCGGACCTTCAACCTTTTGAGTTAGCGGTCCGTACCCTGCCATTAGGCTAATGTCGCTGTCGCTTACTACATTGTATTCTATCTCATTCTCTCGCAGGCTAAATCCTATACATTTATATATGTTTGTCCCGTTTTAGTGTCGCTTTTTGTTTTCATCGGGTTTCAAATCCCAACGATTTTAAAGAGGTTTTCACTTTAAAAACACAGAAATTCTGTGTTTTTGAAATGAAAAGTGTATGTGGTACACGTATAACCCGTCGAAAATAAGCTCGATCTGTCAAATGACGTAAATATATTATGTCTTAAAAGTTAAGGCGTTTCCGTGACCTGACCAAATAACCTTGAGCATGCAATGCACTGCCGCCCGCACTCTGCGTACGCCCATTTATCGTAGAATTCACACAATTTTTGGAATTAATTTTAATTAAAAAAGAAAAGCGAACTTTAAAAATTAAATAAAGCTTGAATAATATCGATTTTTAAATTATCTATCCATTAGTGTAATCCTCAAATGATTAGAGCGTTACCTTTAGCAACAGATGCATGTAATCAATAATTTTAGTCATTTTTTTTAAAGTAGATTTTAAATGTTTTTTTCTCATAATTAATGAGATAATAGTCTCTGAATAAGGAAGAAAAACGCACTAACGCAAAGTTTTGGTCGGGAATTCGGAATATCGCCTTAAGGTGTAAAGGCTCGATGACACTGGGCTAGTTTTCAAGCTACAAGCTACCGAATTCGCGAGCAGCTTGTAAACTCGCTCCGTGTCATTGAGTTTCTTTACAATACGCTTTTGAGAATCCGATTGTAAAAAAGCTGCTTGAAAAATAGAAAGCCGGGCTAATTTACTCGCCATTCGCTGGCGTGTTGGCCTGTAAGCTAGTTAACTAGCTGTGTGTCATCATCGTTGCTGTTGAACTAGTTGCGAGCATCTTTTCTTTTTGGCAGTTTTTGCTAAAATGTCAGAGGAAGTAGTTCACGCGGGAGCAGTTCTTTTAGCTCACGTTATCAGGAAAGATTTACAGCGAAAACTAAAGAAAAACATGAAACAGAAAAGAAAATGGGTAAGATGCCGTGGATAGTAAAATGCGATGAATATGGTGCTTCCAGTTGTTTATTGAGGGGGTTGAAGGACTAAGATCCTTTGGCCTATAATAGAAATATGTTGAGGCTAAACAGTTCCAAATTTGATATTAGCTGGCTAGCTAATTCGCTACTGAGCGAGTGGAAAGTTTTTGTGTCATCGACACTCGCTTACTCGGTCACTCGCTAGCTTTTAAACTCACCGACTAGCAGCTCGTAAACTAGCCCAGTGTCGTCGAGCCTTTAGGCACGAACACTGGGCGACTTGCGGACTTGCGGTACAACGCTGGAGGACCCGCATTCCACCGAGGCGATTTCCGACGGGCTGTACGCTTACTTTATTAGGTTATATTTTCGTACGCTAAATATTTATTGTATGCATATTTTTTTACTTTACCTTGTTAACTCGTGTGACGGTCGCTCAAAATGTATGCCAAGCACGCCGCTTCCCGCTATAAATATGTCAATCGTTCATTTCTAGTGACCCGATCGTTTAAGTGTCGATTCGTCTTACGTAGCTTTCGGCTTAAGGGAAAAAAAGCCCATTCTCGAAACACTTTTACATTTACAATTCGTGCAAACAGTCGATCATAGATCACTGGATATGTAGGTCCTGTCAATCGTTTGATCCGGCCTATTTACATCTCGCCGCACGCTCTCCTATTGCATTGCAATCTGCAATGATTGTACTCGGGCTACATGCTCGAACAGAATAAGCACTTTGTGTACATTAAAACCAAAGAATGAAATAGGTATTGTATAGGTAATCGTGATATCAAAAACTGCCTCTGCACTGCCGACCACGTTCAGAATTATTATCGGAATGATTGTACTTATATGATTTGTTTACAATTAAAAATATTCTAATGTGTTTATTTTGTGTTTAAAGTTGATTTTTATTTAAATGACAAAAAGTTATTGTTAGATTAAGAAAAAATATTCATATAGGTATTTTATAAGCTTTTAACACACCAAATGCGAGTACATGACCAGATGCGTTACGGAGTTAGTTTTGTAATAATACTTTCATTAAAGTTGAATGATATAAAACTTCCATATAAATTTGTCGGTACGATACGCGTGCCCCCTACTGTATGTTAATTGTACTATTCCTATAACCTTCCCACAAGTAAAAGCAATAAGTTGACAAAGTTTTACCGCAATCAGATGAACGTATAAAATAGCGTACGATAGCGTATAAAATACGAACAAAAAAACAAATATTAATTTTGAAATATTAGATGTAACACAACAGCACACGCATTTGGTGTAATTTGTTCATTTATGTCCATAATTTTAAATTGTTGCGACGGAAATGTTTATTTCAGTTTCATTTTTTTTTTCAAATTAAACATATAGATAACATTTATTTATTTTTTATTTACACAACATATTCAAATTATTTAATACTATGTATGTAACAACGATCAAAATATAAATACATAAATGATAATATCCATCAACAATTATACCAATCAATATAAATATTAAATTACGGCATTTTATTGATAAAATAACATTATCATATTTTTTTTATAGAATAAGGGTAACAAACGAGGATACAGTCCAGTGGAGTAGCGTGCTTTAGCGGGGCCCTATATCAAAATTTGTCGGGGGGCCCAAATAAAGGATAATGTTTTTTCACAAAAGGAACAAAAACTCTCGCATTGAATTAAAATAATTATATATTGATTATAAATTATTACATACGATTAATACTCCTAGTAACTAAGCAAGCCAAACAATTCAAACCAACATCCTGTCCCATAGAAGTCCTTAGAATATTTGCTTCTATACTTTCGGGGCCTCTGTAGCCCGGGGGCCCCGTATCATTGATACGGTTGATACGGCGATAGCTACGCCCCTGATACAGTCCCCCTGATGGTAAGCGGATGCTGTGGCCCATAGACACATTTATCCTCGTTTGCATATCAAAATGCAGATGCGTTGTCACCCCTGAGGACTAAGATGGAATGCCTCGTTTCCAGTAAAAAGGGGTATCCGGTTCTCTAAAATTTTTTTGCACACTGCTATGAAAAACATTTCAATTAGGTAAAATTTGAACACCTTTAAAAATCATACGAAGCCGTAATTTAATAGTATCTCCCTCTTGACTTCGTGCCGGACACATTCCATTAAAGTTTAATTACAGAGTTTATGATTAGAAAAGTGAATTCACCAAATTGTGTCAAATGTGGATTTTTGGAAGATACTGTTCATTTTATGATGGAATGTGTAGGTACGGAACGAAGCATATGGAAAACAAATAGGTTATGACAAAAATAATGTCAGACAGATAACTTTTTATTACTGTTTACGTGAATTAATCAGTGTCTGATTATGTACATTTTATTGTGAATCTCTATAATCAATAAAGATGAAAAAAATCCTCGTTCTTAAAAATTTTCATAGATGCTTACAAAATTTTTTTTTTCTACATCATTATACTTTAACAGTGAAGTAAAAAAGAAGAATTAAAATTCCTAAGGCCCGTTTCAGTTGCAACGTTTTCAATTATAATCACTACGTTTTACATTGCAAGAGAAACAGATAACTTGTAATGATACTTGGAATCACCACAAAATAATATTTTAAAAATAATTCAAAAAAAATCTAATCTATAACTTTATTCTTTTGTCTTGGTACATATTACGTGCATGTTTCGATATACACTGTGACCACTGTAAGGTGTGCCGTCAATTTAGTATACTGTGAAGCCGTTCCTTTTTAGTTTGCTATACTGGTTACCACTGGTTACTGTTTGAAACGGAACGCAGTCCAGTATACTGTCATCAATCTGTCTCAATTTTTCACCAGTGAGAGCACTAAGCAGTGCTCGCAGTGTATATCGGAACATACCCTAACTTCAATATTTTGTCATCACTCAATTTTCATAAAATCATAAATATTATTTATAAAAATGATTCTTTAAACATTACTTAAATCATTTAAATAAATCTTAACATCTATAAAAGCTTTATGAAAAAAAAAATATAAAATTATATACTTATACTTTAATGACAAAAGACTTTATACGCACTCTATCTCAAAAAACTGTTAAGCAAAACGTTTGGAACGGAAGTTTTAAAGAATTTTACTATCTACAATTTTCATAATAAATGCAAATAAAGCTAAAATCATTGGAAGCGAGATATTTACAAAAAACCGATTTCTGTGATCTTTGACCTTGAATATCTTAAAACACGAGATTTTATGAGACTCGGGAAACATTCAGAATGCCAAAACAAAGATTTATAGAAGTTTACTGCTTGTTAGCTCTCATTCTGAAGTTGACCGTTTTCTTTTTGGCTTTACTGACTGTTCAAGTATTCAATAGAAACAAGTAGTTTAATAAAATCACGAGTCGGATTAATCCGTGTAGAGCCATAGGCAACGCAAGTGTTGAGGCTCCTCCCCCTTTTTCCAACTTCCTATATCAAGAACAAATGAATTTTTCTAAAGCCGAGCGATTCGGGGCCTTATTACGTTGCACTTAAGTTAACCCAACCATGAATAAAATCATAGAAAGCATAATATAAAAAATACTACCTACTTTTTATTATAAAAATAAACATTTTAAACAACTTCTCGGCTGTTCAACTGCTTGTAGAAACTGTTACTCAGGAGAATTGCGTAAACGTTGAGACCTAGAAAAAAATAAAGTATTTGGGGTAAGTTTAATAATTATTGATTCTTTTCCTGTAATACGTCCCATGCGTAATACGACCCCCCCCCCCCCATTTACCGTGTAATGGTGGTGTAAGAATATTCATTACCCCATAATATCATCCCATGGGTATCGTAGGAGGCGACATAGAGAAACACATCCGCACGGCTAGCATGGGCTGGGGACAAAAATTTTATCCCCCGATTATATCCACTGACAAGAGATAAAATTATCTTGTCCCTATGCCATAGCACGGCAACGGGGAGAATTATATCCCCGTTTGACATAACGAGTAGACATATATATTATATCGAAAGATAAAAATTATGCTTTTTTGACATTTGAAAGGGACAATTCTATCCTAGTTCATTGGACGTGGGTTTAAGTTTATATTCATACAAAAAATCTATCTAAGTCTATCTCCCATTTTATTTACTGAGGATATTATATCCACCGGTGTGCCCATGCTCGAAGGGTGGATAAACTAAGTGATGGGATAAATATTTTCTCTTTTCCCCGGGGATAAAATTGTCTCCTGCCCATGCTAGCCCTGTAGGAGATGGGCAGCAGCGTCTTCCTAAGAAAGAAAAAGTAAAGTTACAGCCTATATACGCCCCACTGCTGGACACAGTCCTCCCCTCACTTCTGAGAGGGTTTTAGGGCAAGGCATTGTTCGCCGCGGTGCCCCAATATGTGTTGGCGGACTTCACAAAATAAATGTCTTCGAAAACAATTTCATTGGTGCCGGCGGGGATCGAACCCGAGTTATTGGCGTGTGTGAAATTTACAGCGAGAGCCAACCCACTGAGCTACCACGGCTCCTCTTTCTAAGTAGTCGACTAAAAATATAAAACTGCGGTTGTTATAACTTATAACCCCCTTAAAGGCTTATTACATTACACGATTTATCGGGCCCTGTCCATCGTGTGCCCTGCCTACCAGACAGGGCGCTGCTTATTACACTATAAAATCGCTTCCTGCCTCAGTTGTGACTCGAACGTGGAAATGATTGCACGTCTAGCATTATGGCGCAGACTTTATCTAAACGTCAAAAAATTGCTTTATTTTTTTTACGTGGTAGAGCCATGCTATAGCTATATTAGTAGTATTGTTGTAGCACGAATGGGTCGGCTCGACCGGGGAAGGACCACGCTCTCACAGAATACCAGCGTAAAATAGCAGCTTAACACTGCTGTGTTTCGTATGGTGAGTGTAGAGAACCGGAGACTCTTTTTACTGGAAAGGAGGTATTCCATCTCAGTCCTCACGGGTGACAATGCATCTGCATTTTGATTCGCATAGGAGGATAAATGTAGGTGTCTATGGGCCACAGCAACCACTTACCATCGGGTGGACTGTGAGCTCGTTTGTCACCCTATCCTATAAAAAAAAACTTTGGCTAGCGGTAACGTGCAAGGCCAAGCTAAAAAAAGGAAGGAAAGTTAAATGTGGATGAAAAAATATTTGCTCCTCAGAGAAAAACTATCGAATATGCAAATAGTCAGCGTTTTGGACCCAACAGACCTACGAAACTATTTTAAAGAGTAGGTGAAAACTAATTCGACGAGTTATTAAGCTTAGTAACGCCTTTAATAGAAAAAAAAATACTTTAATGATTTCTTATATTTACGCGAACACTACACATTGAATAAAACTACTTGTACGGATTCTATCGCGTTTAATTTTTTTTTATTAATTCCCGACGTTTCCGATGCTTTACAGCAACCAATCCCCCGTGACCATGGGTGGTAAAGCACCCGAAACATCGGGAATTAATAAAAAAAAAATTAAACGCGATAGAATCCGTAAAAGAAGTTTTATTCAAAAGAATAAGTACTTTTTTAAGAGAGATTGGTTGTCACTTTACGATTTTGGCCACTGGAAACTCCTATCAAGATTTGATAAGGCATATCTTTGTAGATGTCGGTAACATTGAGAAGGATCTTTTTCTTTAGCGCATGACATAAATACGAGTAATGATTTAGAGAGTAGATCGACATAGTAGAACTTTAAATAAACAAACGTGTAGACTCTGCGTATGCGGCCACGCAACTATACACTCTTATCTATGCACGCAACTGAGCACAGAGTACATTATATATATGCAACTGAGCTCCCTGCCTCCCTGTCTCTTATTACACTACACGATCCACAGCGCGGCAGGGAAGCAGGGCGGTCGGAACCACTCGGTCGCCCTGTTTAGGGACCCTGACTCCCTGTTTCTTATTACTCTACCCTGTCCCTGCCGGCAGGGCCCGAGAAATCGTGTAATGTAATAGGCCTTTAAGGCTTCGTGTAGTGTAATAAGAGACAGGGAGGCAGGGAGCTCAGTTGCGTGGCCGCATGCGCAGAGTCTACACGTTTGTTTATTTAAAGTTCTACTATGTCGGTTTACTCTCTAAATCATTACTCGTATTTATGTTATGCGCAAAAGAAAAATATCCTTCTCAATGTCATCGACCTCTACAAAGAAATGCCTTATCAAATCTTGATAGGAGTTTCCAGTGGCCAAAATCGTAAAGTGACAACCAATCTCTCTTAAAAAAGTATTCTTTTGAATAAAACTTCTTTTACGGATTCTATCGCGTTTAATTTTTTTTTTTAATTAATTACCGACGTTTCGGGTGCTTTACCACCCATGGTCACGGGGGACTGGTTGCTGTAAAGCATCCGAAATGTCAGGAATTAATTAAAAAAAAATTAAACGCGATAGAATCCGTACAAGTAGTTTTATTCAATGTGTAGTGTTCGCGTAAATATAGGAAATCATTAAAGTATTTTTTTTTCTATTAAAGGCGTTACTAAACTTAATAACTCGTCGAATTAGTTTTCACCTACTCTTTAAAATAGTTTCATAGGTCTGTTGGGTCCAAAACGCTGACTATTTGCATATTCGATAGTTTTTCTCTGAGGAGCAAATATTTTTTATCCACATTTAACTTTCCTTCCTTTTTTAGCTTGGCCTTGCACGTTACCACCAGCCAAAGTTTTTTTTTATAGGATAGGGTGACAAAAGAGCACACCGTCCACCAGATGGTAAGTGGTTGCTGTGGCCCATAGACACCTACATTTATCCTCGTATGCGAATCAAAATGCAGATGCGTTGTCACCCGTGAGGGCTGAGATGGATTGCCTCTTTTCCAGTAAAAAGGGTCTCCGGTTCTCTACACTCACCATACGAAACACAGCAGTGTTAAGCTGCTATTTTACCGTGGTATTCTGTGAGAGCGTGGTCCTTCCCCGGTCGAGCCGACCCATTCGTGCTACAACTATACTACTAATATAGCTGTAGCATGGCTCTACCACGTAAAAAAAAACAATAAAGCAATTTTTTGACGTTTAGATAAAGTCTGCGCCATAATGCTAGACGTGCAATCATTTCCACGTTCGAGTAACAACTGAGGCAGGAAGCGATTTCTAGCGTAGTGTAATAAGCAGCGCCCTGTCTGGTAGGCAGGGCACACGATGGACAGGGCCCGATAAATCGTGTAATGTAATAAGCCTTTATGTCAAATATCCCCCCCCCCCCCTTCCTCATGTAGTATAGATAGAATACTTACAAATATAAAACACCTCTACGCAGATAGTGCCGGCGTTGTAATGGGTCACGTTGACGAAGAACGTGAATAACGACAGGAAGAAGAAGACTGCCCACATGAAAAAATACGTCCGCACTATACCGGCGCGTTCCTGTAAAATAATTATAGATAAAGCAGAGAATTGAACCTATAGGCATTAGGAGTGTTGTTTAAAAATAAAAAATCATAATATAATTGGAACTTATAATGCGGCTTGACGGGGTAGGGCCACGGTCTCACACATGTTTTTTTATGTGTGTTACCTCATAACTTTTTACTGGGTGAACCGATTCCGATGATTTTTCATTTATTTGAAAGCTGGTACTTTACATGTGGACCCATATAAATTTGATCAAAGACAGACCAATAGTTTTGAGCCATTGTTAATAATTTATATTGAAGTCGGCTGTACAAAATTTTTAATTTTAAATTATTAGTGGAGGCGAGGATCTATCTGCATTTTGATTCTTAATCGAGTCCGGTAGTATTACCATCAGCTGGACTGGGTGCTCGTTTGTCACTCTTATCCTTATGCTATAAAAAAGGTCGAAGTCAGCAGTGGATGTAGGCAGCTCATTAGGTCTAGAGCCCAGAGTCCAAGAGCGTTAGAATTTGAAGAAACGCAAAATTTAAAAACGGAACCACATGAGAAGCACCAGTTTTCAAATAAAAAAAGATTTTACACGTGGTAGAGCCATGCTGCAGCTATATAATAGTATAGTTGTAGCACGAATGGGTCGGCTCGACCGGGGAAGGACCACGCTCTCACAGAATACCAGCGTCAAATAGCTTAACACTGCTGTTTCGTATGGTGAGTGTAGAGAACCGGAGACTCTTTTTACTGGAAACGAGGCATTCCATCTTAGTCCTCACGGGTGGCAACGTATCTGCATTTTGATTCGCAAACGAAGATAAATGTAAATGTCTATGGGTCACAGCAACCACTTACCATCAGGTGGAATGTGTGCTCGTTTGTCACCCTATACTATAAAAAAATCATCGAAATCAGTTCACGCAGAAAAACGGAAGCTAAGTCACTGCGCCACGGAGCCGTCCGGCTTAGCAATTAGTTACTGCGCTGGGGGCTGCGGGTTCGAAATTGTTTTTTTTTTTAATTTATATTTTCTTTGATATTATAATAATCCTTTTTGTACAAATTTTCTTTGATAAATAAAAAATTTAAACTTGTTTATTGACAAATTTTGTACATTTTCTGAGATTTTGTTGTAAAAGCGTATGCACTGCCCCATAAATGAATTACCTACTATAATTATAATTTTGTTGAGTCTAGTAACCGGTATTTCAAACTTATGTTTGTTCCTAGTGTTTAAAGTATGAACATTTCTTTATTCTTATCAAACCATTGGCATTTAACTCTTTCGCTATTCCGTGCACTATATAGATCATTGCTATTGTCGTACTATTGTGTCTTTTTTTTAATAGTACAAGGGTGACAAACGAGCACACAGTCCACCTGATGGTAAGTGGTTGCTGTAGCCCATAGACATCTACATCTATCTTCGATTAAGAATCAAAATGCAGATGCGTTGTCACCCATGAGGACTAAGATGGAATGCCTCGTTTCCAGTAAAAAGGGTCTCCGGTTCTCTACACTCACCATACGAAGCACAGCACCGTTAAGCTACTATTTTACGCTGGTATTCTGTGAAAGCGTGGTCCTTCCCGGGTCGAGCCGACCCATTCGTGCTACAACCATAATATAGCTGCAGCATGGCTCTACCACGTAGAAAAACGTGTCTGAAAACCGGACAGTAAAAGTAGTTATGAATCGCCCGTACGGCTCTCTTTTGTAAAACAAATATGGCTTCAATGTCAGTTACATTAACCCATAGCAATTTTCCATAAGACATCACGCTATAGAAGTAATTAAAATAAACTAATCTAGCTGTCTCAACATTGGTGAGACTTCTAACCTTTCTTACAGCATATGCTGCAGAACTAAGTCTGCCTGCTAATTTAGATAAACGACTTTGATACCACGAAATTTCTTCAAATTGAATAGGGTTTGAGTATTTGACCATTACTTCCGTAAATAAAATCTAGATTCCCTTACCGTCACAACGCCGTATACAAAAACTACATCGAAGCAGAATTTAGCGAAGAACATCACAACCAACAGTATAGACATCACGTAAAGTCCAGTCATAGCTGCCTCTTTCTCTAAATCCTTTTCTTCAAACGCCGCTTCCTGTATTGGCTCAAGAGTGGCAGCTACAACTGCCATTATGATGAATATCGTCAAGGACATAACCTAAAAATAAAATACGCTAAATTTGTAACAGAAGTATTTAACATCCAGGTAGTTTCATGAACAATTCATGTATCGTCATGGTGATCACCAGTTTTTTAATAATAAAAGGTAAAATGTTAAATAAAACTTTCGCCAGAGCTCAGAGCCAAGGAATTTTTAAAATTAATTCGAATAGATTATATTATATTCTAATTAAAGCCCATCAAATAATGAAGAGTAAGTAGGTACCTACCTATTCTTTGGATTATTATATTTAGATCTGGTATCATTTGAACAAGAACCGATAATACTATTTTTCATTTACTTCCTTTTCTTATTTTTTTTACATATATTCATCTAATCATTATCTGAATCCACGCCACATTTCGTCCCGTGGGAGTCGTAAGAAGCGGCTACAAGGCCCGCCACATACATACGGAATTCCGTTTCGGGATTCCGTTTCGTTATTCCGAACGGGTCGGCCACACACATACGGAATCCCCCGTTTGGCCCGCAAAATTTCGAACTGAAAACTACCGTACGTGTGTGACGGGTCATAGATTTTATATGGACTTGCTGCGTTCGGGATTCCGAATCGGAATATGGAAACGGAATTCCGTATGTATGTGGCGGGCCTAATATATGCAAACAAGACCTCAAGTTCACCCTGTGACCTTGGGTGATGTAAAGCACCCGAAACGTCGGGAAAAGCCCATCATATAATGAAGAGTAGGTACCTATTATTTGGAGGGAATATACCTGATCTCCTGATCTGGTATCATTTGAACAAGAACGACAATAATATTTTTTTGTTTGCTTGCTTTTCTTACTGGCTCTACTGCATTTTAAATACCTATATTCTTCTAATCATTACCTGAATCCACACCTCATATCGTCCCGTGGGAGTCGTAAGAAGCGACTATAACATATTATGCAAACAAGACCTCATAGAATTATTACGAATAGAATACTAGTACGCGCCCGGAAAGTGAAGCAAGTTAAACTAACGCGAAACCGCGTTAGTTCACTCAGCGACGCGTCAGTGCGCAACGTCATGTCTTACGGAGAAGAGCTCGCGAAAAATTGTAAAAATGACCGTTTTTGTTGTAAAAGATTGTCACAACAGTGATGATAAACATAAAAGAAGTGATGGTACTGCATTTCACATACATGTTTATATATTTAATTCATTATAACTACGTAAAACTAAAAAAATACTTACCTAAGCTATCCTAATACAAATGTTGCTAGTTGTGGGGAAAAATCACAATTTTCTTTTAAAAATATTTATTTTCTATTTGTGTTTAAAACGTTTAATCGCAAAGCTCTCTGTAAAACTCATATGTTTATATATAGATACCTACTTCTCTAAGTATTAACATAATATTAACATTGGGTGCCTATTTAAAACTAATACGGAGTGATCAGCTAATCGCGATTCGCCGACGCCATTTTAACGCAACTATTTTAATTGCTTTGTTTATTGACTAAGTCTACGTTTTAGAGTATAGAATAAAAACTTTTCTATTTACAACATCAAGATATTATTAATAAGAACGCCTTAACTAATCAGATGTCACTTTACACCCAAACGTTAACCAGATGTTATTTTAGACCCAAACATAGTCTATTTTAATCGACTCCCAAAAAGGAGAGGTTATCAATATGTATGTACACTGATTTCTAAGACAATTCTATATTTACTAGTTTATGTCGTATCACTACGCTTGAGAGTTCATGTTCTGAATATTTATTAGTGGCCCTTCACTGTGTAGGCAGCGCGCGGTAGTGCGTGCGATAGACGTAACACTAAGTTACATCCAGCGAATTTTTTTTCAGACTTTATTATAGTAATACGGTATAAGCTAGCCTGCACGCCTGACCTACTTGCGAGATATTGCTATTGTTTTGAGATCGCATTCGAGTTTTGTTTTTTCGATTGTAAATCTGCCATTTTTGCATCCTAATTTTAATAAAATAATTACTACCAAGACAAAATAATTTGACATCGGGAAAACAACCATTAAAATTTCAGCGTGTATATTGGATCAATCTGTGTGTATATCCTTTCAAATAAAAAAATCTAAATCGGTTTAGAAATTGTAGAATGCTGAGCTAAAAAACATTTTTAAAAAATACACCGAATTGAAAACCTCCTCCTGTTTTGAAGTCGGTTAAAATTAAATATTACACGATGTGCTTATTGTATTCGAGCAAATTAATTGTGTTTAACAATATTCTTAAATTTTATTACGTCTGTATTTTTGTACCATTAAAATATGTATAATTAAGTTATATTAGTACCATCATTATCGTGTTTATTTTATTCCATTTTATATTCTCATAAAATATATCTTCGTACGTAATACGTAATCTTTATTATATCGATTTTTTAAAATTAATCAAAAAATAGTGATTTGCACAATTTGATTGCAAACGCCAGATACTGGTATCACTGAATGGCATGTATGTGTGCGTGTGACGAGCGTAGGCACATTCGACTCGCGCCCACTAACATTATGACTTTGCATCATTTTAACGCTCGTGTTTTGTACTGGACTGCGTTTCTATGCGTAATAATTCTATGCAAGACCTCAAGTCCACCCTGTGACCTTGGGCGAAGCTGAAGTAAAACACCCGAAAGGTCGGGAGTTAAAAAGTAAAAATTAAACGCGATAAAAAGTATTCCCGTAAATGTATATTATAAGAAATCATTATGAACACCTAAAGGCTTCCGATATAGGTATGTCGTTATAAATATAACCATCTCGTTTATGTTAGAAAGCAACGCCAAAGGTGCTATCGCCAATCCTCATGCCAAGCTTGACTGTTAAGGCCAAGACAAATCCTTGCTATAATAGTAGAGGCTAGAGGCCCATGTCTAGACTTTTGTGGGCAGATGATGATCAACGAATATTTGGCACAAATGTAATATTTCAAATAAAAGTAGCTTTTGTTGTGTTACCTTGCATTTTAGTGGTTAATTGCACTTATAAATAATGGAATACAGCAATTGTTTGTAATGAGGTAATAAATGTAAATGTAAGAAATATTGCGGAGTAGAGATGACATCAAAATATATGATTCCATCTCGTATCTGCGGTAATATACCTTAGTAACTCTCCAGTCTTTATGGTTTATATATTGGGGCTAACCGTCACAAATATGTCAAATCCTTTTACGGATTTTATTATTACGGAATTTACTTAATTTTAATTAAATGTAAAAGTAGTTTTATTCAATGTGCAGTGTTCGCGTAAAATATAAGAAATCATAATGATTACACATTTTGATTTGACATAACATAAACGAAAAAGTTTATGTATGTTATTCATGAAGCAAATACAAAGAGGAGACGTTGTAATTAAATTTCACTATGTAACAACGCGTGACAATTTGCGGGTTGAGGGGATGCAAAGCCCCGCCCACTACACTATCTACATCTACCGATAAATAGTAAAACTACTCGAATCTAGAATTAGCTACCTTGACGGTAGATGGCGGCATGTCCACAAAATGTTATAAACTATAAAAATAATATTTTGGCGATTAAAATTTCTTTATATCTGAATGCAAAACAAATTTCAGCACCTTCGTATGATTATTTTATCATTACTGAGCTCTATGTACCTTTATATTTTTAGTTCACAGGACACAAAGTGTCGCCATCTAGTGTGGAATATATTTAATTATATTTGAAAGCCGACGCAAAGAGATTTTTCTAGAACTATTTTAATAAATTTGGTGTTAAAAATTACTCACAAATGAAATGTGATGCCATCCATAGCATCGGAGCGTCTATCTCATGAAGCAAATACATTCAGACAAAGAAATTTTAATTGCCAAAATAATATTTTTATAGTTTATATATTTATATAATAATTTTGGGAACAGGCCGCCATCTATCGTCAAGTAAATCTCATGAAAAAGAACAAAACGACAGGGCCGCAATTAGAATTCAATTATTTTACCCAGTAACCCAACATTCAATATTAAAATGAAGGAAATTGTACTTGGATGATTTTTACGAAATGTTTAAGTTATATTTAAGTGACATTCTATATGCAAAGAATCACTTAAATACAATTTAAATATGTTTATCATTTCGTGAAAGTCAACCTTCAAGAAATATTTATTTTATCCATAAAATAAAGTCTCTTTGAAACTAAATATCCTACTTATCTCACTAATATTATAAAGGCGAAATTTTTTGTGTTCTTTCTGTCTCTTTGAGCTTATTCCACACTAAGTATGTGTAATTTTTTCACGCAGAAACGGCTGGACTATTATTTATGTGTGGGTTATACTACTTAATATCTCTGAGGGAGAACAAATAATAGACAAATTATTATAATTAATATAATTTTATTTACAAATCAATTAAAATATAAATATTTTATTCCAAATTAGGCATCCGAATGCACTTTTTAAATGCCAATCTAAGAACATTAATTTGTATTTAAGTGACTCTTTGCATATAGAATGTCACTTAAATATAACTTAAACATTTCGTAAAAATCAGCCTAAGTACAATTTCCTGCATTTAATATTAAAAGTTGGATTACTGGGAAAAATAATTGAATTCTAATTAGAGCCCTGTCTTTTTGTCATTTTTATGAGGTTTACTTGACGAGAATACGGCCTGTTCTCAGAATGATTATAAACTATAAAAATAATATTTTGCGATTAAAATTTCTTTATGTCTGAATGCAAAACAAATTTCATCACCTTCATATGATTATTTTACCAATACTGAGCTCTACGGGCCTTTATATTTTTAGTTCACATGTCACAAAGTGTCGCCATCTAGTGTCGAATATATTTAATTATATTTGAAAGCCGACGCAAAGAGATTTTTCTAGAACTATTTTAATAAATTAGGTGTAAAAATATTTACAAATGAAATGTGATGCCATCCATAACATCAGAGCGTCTATCTGAGTAGTTTTTACACAATAAAACACAACACTTCATCCTTTTCTTCTTAATACTACAAAAATACACCGATTTGCGATTTTTTCAACACATAAGCGCACAGGACAAATGCTGACAGTGACAGTATACTAACTAAAGCCACGCCCACCCTACTTAGAATCACAGTGCACAGTTGCTTATGCCGTCTCCCCTTTGTATTAGCTTCATGATGTTATTGCACAAACTAATAAGAAGTGTAACATCTGTAAAAAGTAAAAACTTGTCTTACTTTCGTTTATGTTTCGTTTGTAACCACGAGTAGCTTCAATTGTGATCTAAAAATACACGCATAATTACATAGGTGGCGCTGAACTCAGTCAACAATTAGCAATTGTATAGGTATTGTTGTAGTCACAAACTAATAAGAAGTGCTAGCGTAATTTTAGTAAAATGTAAAGCCCTATTTTCGGACACGAATAGGCTTTGTAGAAACATCTGCAATAAACTACTAAGAAGTTGGCTTTATTCCAGAATTTTACAATTGAACAAATCTCAAATTACTATTTGCTAATAACTTACACTAAGGCCCGAGGTTCGTGTCCCTATCGTTTAACTCACAAGTCAGATGTGGTAAACAATCTGAATACGATGAAACGGTACCTGTGTTCAGGAATAGGCAGGGTGATGCTTACTGATAAAAAGTAAGATTTTTGGTGAGGGCTTACCGCGTTCAAGCAACCCATGATCGTGTTCCCTGTTTTCAAGTCAAATACGAAACAGCATGTTTCTAGTTGAGGTAGACCCATTTTGAGCTGAAAAAAAAAACAGATTAAAGTATTCGCCATAATATAATAAGCCATTATTTTTTTTCGTCCTGTGACGGCAACTTAGTTCTTTAGATAGCAGGATCGGTTCTTTGGATAGTAATGACTAATGATTGCATAGTTTTGTGAATGTTTGGACAACGGGCTCAAACACACAAATTAATCCTCAGTAGATCGTGATGTGTTTCACGTGTACTGTTCATTATAATATTTTATTGGTTATAAAAGAAAATAAAAAAACACAAAAACTCGCTGTGCTACAACGCATAAGAAAAACCATTAATACTCCACGTGTATAGGGTTACCAGATCCCACAATGAGTTTTCCTGGCAAAATATCTGACTTTTCAATAAATTTCCTGACATTGACACAGATGCAGCAAATAGTCCGAGAGCTGGTAGACATTTTTGGATAGGTATTTGACAAGTTTTCAGCGTGCCTGAAATACCTATCCAAAAATGTCTTCTTTTATAGAATAGGCTGACAAATGAGCACACAGTCCACCTGATGGTAAGTGTTTTCCAGTAAAAGGGTCTCTGGTTCTCTACACTCACCATACGAAACATAGCAGTGTTAAGCTGCTATTTTACGCTGGTATTCTGTGAAAGTGTGGTCCTTCCCCGGTCGAGCCGACCCACTCGTGCTACAACTATACTGCTAATATAGCTGCACCATGCCTCTACCACGTATAGAACCAGCTCTCCTAATAATATATTATATTTCATTATAAAAACTCGCGCATGTGCTTGACATAATATGCGCAATAAAAAGTATGAGCCAGATCAGTTGAATTAAATAATTTAACTTCAAGATTGATTCATATATAATAATTTTGTACTTGTAATATTTTACTGTTTCTATTTAAAAATTCCTGACAATTTCAAATTTTTCCTGTTTCCCTGAGAGAGAGTTAAAATTCCGGATATGTCAGGAAAATTCCTGTCATCTGGTAACCCTACACGTGTAGGACGCGATTGAAAAAAAAGACAAAGATTTTGTGGTCTCCGATAGGTGGCGGTATAGAGTAAAAATATGGAATCAATCCGCCTGTTAATCATAAGAATTGTTATAAAGCTTTGAGCATAGAAAACAGCTATTTTCTATGCTCAAAGTTATAAAGCTTCCCTACTTTACATATAAAATAGTTTGATATTCGGCAGTAGATTAATGCGGGCTAATAATTTTCTACTCACTAGACTTTTACTTAGCGGTTAGCCACCGTAGAGTCTATATCACCTGAGGATGCCTCGTGTAGAGGCGAAACACGTGTCGTATTATCGTCAGTGGTGTGTCTTGCCTAGTGTAGTGGTGTTGGAAGTAGCGGTGCTGGGATTAGTGGTGACGGGGATAGTGCACGCAATTGAGGGAGGGCGGGAGGTGCTTCTTCATACTAGGTAAGACACATCATTTTATTTTATAACGCGGATATTTGCGAAGTAAATTTTTGTAAAAGCTTTTACTCACTAGATGTCGCTAGTTGACACTGATGTGAAGTTTTTTGGTACACAATGTCGTTTAATGGAGTAGTTAGCTTTAAATAAAAGTTTGTCAGTTTCTAGAGTATTATATTAATACACAAAACAATGCTACAGTTGTTTGCTCTTTAATTTTTTTGCACATTTTTAACTCTCTTCTGCCGACTCCCGAAAAGGAGACGGTACTCAATTCGACTGTATGTTTTTTTTTGTGTGTTACCTCATAACTTTTTACTGGGTGAACCGATTTCGTTGATTCTTTTTTTTATTTGAAAGCTGGTACTTTTCGTGTGGTCCCATATGAATTGATAAAGGTCAGACTAATAGTTTTTGAGTTATTCTTAATAACTTATATTGAAGTCGGCTGTACAAAATTTTTAATTTTAAATTATAATTTTACTACTTTAATGAATATCTGTAGTTTAGTTTATTTATTTTTAATGTAATTAGTATAAAATATAACTAATAGTACAGAAAGAGACATTAAACGAACATTTTTCGAACAAATTAACTTCCCTGCTATGAAATCTTTTTTTTTTTTTTTTTTTTTTATAGGATAAGGGTGACAAACGAGCACACAGCCCACCTAATGGCAAGTGGTTGCTGCGGCCCATAGACATCTACATCTATCCTCTATTACAAATCAAAATGTAGATGCGTTGCCACCCGTGAGGGCCAAGATGGAATGCCTCATTTCCAGTAAAAAGGGCCTCCGGCCACCTGCACTCACCAAGCGAAACGCAGAGGTAAACCTCTACTTCACGCTGGTTTTCTGTGAGGTCGTGGTACCACCCCGGTTCGAGCCGGCCCATCCGTGCGACACTACCCTGCACTGCCGCGTGGCTCTACCACTGTTAAAAATACCTCATTTTTAAAGTGGCGCCGCCCTAGCGGCAGAAAAGGTCGTGGCCCCCATTAGAGGTTGCAGTAAAAGTTAGATAGATCGATAAAGAAAGAGAGAGAGGTCCAGTGCTAAAGCAAATGCAAGAATACTTGCTTGGGTCCTTGCAAAGGTGTGGTGGTACTTCACGCCGGGATAGCAACTTTCTCTATACAATAAAGCGTAAGTCCAACAGTACATTACTGCTGCCATATTGGGCTGGTCCTGAAAATGCCACCTAACAGCTTTGGACTTAATAGAAAGGCTACTTAGAAGTTTATTGGTGACCTGAATTTGTATAAAGACTATCCTTACAGTTTCGAGCACAGGTGCAAAGTCTTTAAGAGTCTTATTACCAATAAAATAAAGTTCAAATTTAAATTACCCGAATAGAACATGGGTGACTTCAAGGCAAGTGTGAATAGGCTTTTGTTAAGCTAAGTCAGTGCGCTTTACTATCTTCGGATGCATCACGACTTACCATCAGGTGGCATCCCATCTGATGGTAAGTAAATGCCTAAATGAAATTGTTAATTGCAATTTTAAGTGCTGATTTACCATGTGTTCGGTGGTGAAGGAAAACATCGTGAGGAAACCTGCAACACGCATTGGGACAGCGCGGCGGACACTTCCTTGCCCTAAAAACCCTCTCATAAATGAGAGTGAGAGGAAGTCTGGTCCCAGTAGTGTGAGTGGGGCGTATGTATATAGGCTGTAACTTTGACTTTAACTTTATGCAATTTATATCGAGATTTAAATTTAATAATACGATTTATGAATGTTTTGTATCATGGTTAAAGAAAATGAAAGTGCAAGCATTTTAAGAAAATTATTATCATATGATTGACGTTATTAAGAACAAGTAGTAAAATTAAACATTTTGTACAACCAACTTCAATATAAATAAAAAAAGATCATCGTCAATGTGATGAATGAAACACAATAGTGACACAGCTATTTGGTGGAAGGAATGGGTAACGGGGTGGTGCCTACCCAGACGGACTCCTGGGCAGAGAAGTTTTTTTTATAGAATTAGGGTGACAAACGAACACACAGTCCACCAGATGGTAAGTGGTTGCTGTGGCCCATAGACATCTACATCTATGCTCGTTTGCTAATTAAAATGCAGATGCGTTGTCAGCCGTGAGGATTAAGATAGAATGCCTTTTTTCCAGTAAAACTACACTCTTCTCTACACTCACCATACGAAACACAGCAGTCTTAAGCTGCTATTTTACGCTGATATCCTGTGAGAGCGTGGTCCTACCCCGGTCGAGCCGGCCCATTCGTGCTACAACTGTACTATTAATACAGCTACAGGATTGCCCTACCACGTAAAAATACATAATACAATTATAAAATTACTACAATATAAAATATAACGCCTCACTCTCTAGATCAAATCAGATATCGTTAACTTAAGATCTAGCAACTTAAATATAAAATTCAAAAAACCCCCGAAATAAAAATAGCTGATGATCTTCAAACGGTTGAAAAAAATTTTTTAATCATAGCTAAGAACATTCTCGATCAAGTCACCTTTCAAACAAAAAAAACGAAATCTAAATCGGTTCACCCGTTTGGGAGCTACGTTGCCACAGACACACATAGATACACACGTTAAACATATGTATAACACCCCTTTGGTTACCCACTGAAATATTAAAACGAACTATATTATAAAAAATGTTTTGTTTTTTTATTTATTTTAAGAAATACGGACGTAATGATACCTATATAAGCGCTAGGGTTATTTAAAAAAAAAGCTTACACTTACCTTCTTTTAAGTAAAAAAACAATGTTTTAATACTATTAAATACACTTAATCAAAGTTCTTTTAGGTCTAAAATTTTCCACCAACTCGCCTATTCTGTAACTGAGAGCTTACGATCAGACTCAAACTAAAGAGAGATGAGAACTGGTGAATCTTTGGGAGTCTTTTAAAGAGCGGATATATAACAGATATGAAACATTTTACGTTAAAAATATTTGCCTCCCAGAGACGAATAAAGTGGTAATTTTTGTGAATAAAGTTATACTAGATCAGTGTACTTGTCTGTTGCATAGATAATCACATGTTTTTTTAACATATGCTTTGTCGTGTATCGGTTTCAGATACACAGTTTCTTAGCGCCTGTACATTGACAGTATTTAAAGTAGTGTGGAAGTACAACAACTCTGCAACAACTGCTTCGTCGCATCCCGTAGTTATAATTATTACCAAATTGTTTTTATAAAGCAAGAAGAACACACATTGTTAACTCCCCTTTAAATCATTTAACTCCCCTTTTAATCAAAACATTGGCAAATAAGTTGACAGTTTAGTCTCTTTTCATTGATTAACTTAGAAATAGGGTATTATAGATTTTTAATTATTAATAATGAATTATCTGAATATCGTTTGTTCATCGAGTGTTTTTACTGCCCATATGCAGTAAGTCATTAAATTAATATAAATTAAAAAAGAGTATGAGTACGTAGTAATTATATAAATTCTTTGGTATATGTATATACTGCTGAATACTAAGTAAATAATTTTCTAGGTCTTATAACGCGTCTGTTTTCTGATTATTCTTTGACATATGTGGCGTCGGTTTGTCTGAAATTTTAATCAATGAGTTGCCGAA